CCCCTCCGAGCGCGGCAAAGGGCCGCTGCCGCTTTGCGCCATGTGGCCGGGAAGGGCCCCGCGGCCCTGGGCGCTCCTCGCCGGCCTGGCCCTGGCCAGCTGGGCCGTCCGAGGTAAGTCCTGGGCGAGCGGGCACCCCTGCGCCGGTGGGAGGCCGCCTGGGAAGCGGGACCCTGCGGCTCTCTGGGGTTTCCATCACCTCGACGTGAGGTTCACAGATGGTGATGGGGAGGAGGGAGCGAGTCCGAGCTGCGGTTCCCCAGGACGGGATCGCGCTGACGGCTCCGCTGCCCCGGACCGTTGCCGTGACCCGGAGCTGCGCGCGATGCTCCGCGCCTGGGTGAGGGCTCAGACCCGCCTGCAGTGACAGAGCTTCTGAACTTGGCCTTGGCAGCACCGTGGCGTTAGGCCAAAGCAGCCACGGGCTTTGTGCCCGGCACAGACACGCAGGCAGCAGGGGCTCTGTTCCAGACTCTGCCCCAGCACTCAGCAAACGAGACAGGGAATTTACTCTCCACGTGCAGGCTCTGAAGGTGATGCCTTCGGGCCAAGGAAGCGATTCTGTGTGGTTTTTTTGCTGCTTTTCACTGAAAATGTTTTTTACTGTTGGGTAAAAACCCAAATGGGTTTTTGCCCTCCCCCTTTTTGGGCTCAGCTCCTGTCCCCGCTGTTGGAAGCATTTCGCTTTCTGTTGAAACGTCTCTGGCTGCAGTTGCACTTCAGTATCTGCGATCGCTGTGCAGGACGAGGGGCACGCACGTACGGTCTGAACGGAGCCCAGGCAGACGCCTGATTCCAGTTAGTTCTCACTCTAAGGGAAGTTGGGTCTCTAGACTACCTAGAGCTGCGTTGATGTAACCACCAGTCAAACACTAGACTACTTGTCCTCTGGATAGTCTGTGTTTCCCGGAGCTTTTTGTCCCTCCTGCTGCTCAGGGGACGCTGCCTCCACTAACCATCTCTACAAGTGAGATCTCCGAGTTCTGCACCACCGTGAGGGTTGAGAACTCAGCCGTGAAGCTCTCTGCTCTGTTTTTTTCTTACAGGACAGAACATAGTTGTGAAAGAAGCCAGTGGGAAGGTGTTCCTGCAGTGTGGAACAGACAACCAAGGTCAAGTCACGTGGCTGAGAGATGGGAATATGGTAGGAAACACAACACAGCTGGACTTAGGTGCAGTTTACGATGATCCCAGAGGCATCTACACGTGTAGACCAGAACGTGGAAAGGAAAGCCCCGCTTTCCAGGTGTACTATCGAAGTAAGTGTTGCAAAACTGGTTTCTAGAGCTGGAACTGCTCAGAGTTTTCACCGAAGCAAATTTTTGAGGGAACTACTGATTTCCCAGGGTTTGAGGGTGATTCCACCGATTTGCAAAGTCGTGGCAGCCCCAGGGCTGGGTTGTCCTCGGGAGCAGCCGAGCTGCACGTTCCCCGGCATCTGGTGTCCCCGTGAGAGCTCCCCAGGCTCATTTAGTGCCATAACCTGGCACTCACACTGCCGCATTGCTGGCCACTCGCTGGCCCTGCTGTGGCCTGCCCTGAGCACCGGGGACACGTGGCAGCTCGTGCCCCCACCTTGGGTCACGCAGCAAGCCAGACTTAATCCCTGGTTTCTCTGGCCCTGGGACTGGAGCCTGCCTGGGCTGGGAGAGCTGTCTGAGCGCCTGGAGAAGGCGGCCATGGGGCAGGGTCCTGGTCATGGCCCTGCTCTCAGTGTCTGTGTCCTTTTGGGCTTCCAGTGTGCCAGAACTGCATCGAAGTGGACGCTCCCACCATCTCAGGGATCGTGATTGCAGATGTTGTCGCCACCGTCTTCCTGGCGGTTGCTGTGTATTGCATCACTGGCCAGGACAAGGGCCGCATGTCACGAGGTGAGGGGAGAGCTGGCTGCCCGCGGGCGGGGACGGGAAGTACCTGGGAATCTGTAGGAGCTGTGTGCACCCAGGGACTTTCCATCGCTGCCTGCAGAGCCCGGTCACCGCAGGCAGCCAGCACACAGCGTGTCTGGGGTAGGGATCCATGTGGGCGCTGTGTGTCCCCGTCCTGCCCCTAGCTCAGCTTCCCCGGAGAAGCCAGCGAAGGCACAAGGCCAACCAAAACATCATCCCAGGGACAGCAGCTGGTGGCACGGGGACATCTGAGGCCTCGCGGGGGGGTTTCCACCAAACCTCCCTGAGGAAGTAAAAGCAGAGGGATGAAACCAGCCGGCTGCTTGGGTTTGTTTGCAAATGTTCACCACCCTGCCTACAACTCCCCTGATCCCTGACCACCTTCTTTTTTCATTTAGCTTCTGACAGGCAGAACCTGATTGCCAACGAGCAGCTCTACCAGGTGAGTGTGTGTGTGTGCTGGGGGGCTGCTGGGGGCTGCTCGGTGCCTCAAAGCACTGAGCTGCGCTGGGGATCACTCCCTGCGGGGGCATTCACAGCCCCTCCTGCCTCTTTGGGGTTGTCAGGCTCTGGGGGCAGGGAGGGAAAGCTTGCCAAAAACTTGGCAAGGAGAGGGCTGGGCCAGCTTCTCCTGCACCCTCCCTCCCGGGGCTGGACAGACACAGCTGTAGCTCATCTCACGGTTTTTTTTTTCCTCTTAGCCCCTTGGTGAGCGGGAGGATGGACAGTACAGCCGGCTGACCCCTGCCAAGGCCCGCAAGTGAAGTGGGAAGATGCTGGGGCATGTGACTCCTTCGCACCGGGAGGGATTTTACAGCAAAGCCACCGCCAGTGCCCAGGCGCCCCGGTTCCCTGCCCTGGCACTGCCTTCCTGAGCTCACTGCTGGCAGAAGACACGCGGGTTTTTGCCGAGAAAGCCCTCCAGCTCCTTGCCAGGGTGGGCTGCTTGTAGCGCTCTGCTCTTGCCACGACCTCTTGCACTTTTGTATTCCTCATTAAAGACGAGCCGATCCCACAGCCTCGCTGCTCCATGGGTTGTGCTGAGGCCCGGGGAGCCTCGCAGTCGCCGGGTGCAACCTGCCTGGGTGCCCGCAGAGCCGTGAGGCTCCTGCCTGTCCCGCCAGGACACTGCGCTGCCAGCGCAGGCAGGCGCCCACGTCCGTGCCACCTCTGTGTGCCAGGACCTAAAGGACGTGGGGGTCCATTGCTGAAGGTGAGGATGGGGGACCTTGTGCAGGGAGGGGGCTGCCACCCCTGACGCTGGCAGAGCCTTTGTCTGGTTGAACTCCCCTTCCAAACGGGCAGCGGGGACACCAGGAGCCCAGCGACACTCGGCAGGGCCTGTGTCACCTCTGCAAAATGCCCACGTGCCTTGGTCCCCTGGACAGAGCTGGGGGGCTGGCAGGAAGGAGGCCAGGAGGACATTTCCTCTGCACGTGCAGGGCCTGGCATCTAATCGCAGTCTCCAAAGTGCAGAGGCTTGCCAGGACCCTGGCACCCAGCCGGCCTGCAGGTTGCCTCAGCACTTCAGGGAGCAAAGCAGCGAGCTGTGCTGGCGCCCCAGAAGAGCTCCTGGGGGCTGGGCCCAAAGAGGAGATGGGAACGTGGGAGACGACAAAAACTGCAGCCGAGACTGTGCAAAGCATGTGGCAGTGGTGAGGCAGCAAAGGCCGGAGGCAGCCGGCACCCCGCACCTCCGACGTTCTTGGGAGGCTCCCGCGCCCTCTGCCTCTGCAGCCCACTGGAGAGTGACTCGCCTTCGTGACCAGGCGTTGGCAGCCCCTCTTTCAGGCTCACTAGCCATCCCACGTGCTGAGGACAGGGCACAGTCGAGCTAACTTTCAGACCGTTTTCCAGCTCGACCACCTTCCCAGACACCGAGCAGTCCTTGGTCTCCCCACACCAACCCAGCTCCTCCGGGCAAGGTCCCCAGCTCTGAGCAGAAACAGGTAACGAGGTCTGACTGGCCAAAACGGGAGGCAGATAACAGACAGCATCAGCTCACAGTTAGAAACCAGGTCACCTGTCATGTGCCAGTTGCCCACAACTGTAGGTTGTTTTTTCCTGCTTTTCTAAGAATCTGGGTGGCAGCTTTGGAGAGCACCAGGCTGTGAATTGCCTTGTGACTCTGCTATAAAGTAAGCACCAAAAGAGTTAACACTCAGTAAAAACTGCCCTCAACTCTGTGACACGTTTGACCCAGCAAACAACCCAGAGGCTGTGCAGAGCTGTGGGTGCACCCCACGTGCCCTTACAGGAATCAGGGTGTGATCGGCCTTACGGATGGTGAACAAGAAAGGGACCTGCTTTCCTAGCGTGTCAGCTCTTTACGTGACATTTTGCTCTTCACAGGAGGAAAATAATACCGTAGTGGTTCTGCTGTCCTAACCTGTTCCAGTGAGGGGTGAGCCTGCTATGGCTGTTGCAGGTAGAATATGCCAATACCTGCAAAGCGATCCGGGTAGGACCTTGTAAAAAAGCGACCAGCAGCCTGCCCAGATCAGAGCACTTTGATCACCATCAGCTCTCGAAGCAGGGAGCCGAAGTGGGCAACCACACCCCGAGAGCAGGAGAAGCCCGGAGCAGAGTTGGGCGGGTGTGCTCTGCACATGGAAGGCACAGCATGGGCAGCATTGCCATCTGGTTTATTTGTGAGAGGCTCCTCAGCATCTCACCCTCGGGAGGACAAAGGTTTCTACAGCGCAGGTAAGCACGGAGCAGAGAGGGGTTGTCCCCCTGGACGGACACGGATCTCACTGCACTGAGGACAGCGGGGGAGAGCACTGGTTGGGGCAAACGCAGCCCCGTAAGTGGTGGCAGAAGCATCGGGGTGTAGGTTGAAGCAAACTGTAGACCTTGTACACGCAGACTGGTGGGAGTTTCTCACACCCCGTTCGCGGCAGCAGGCTGTACGGCTGGCCTGAGCCGGCATCCCCGGAGCAGTGATGTTTTGCAGAAGCTGAGAGCGTGGCCCGGAGTCTTTTTAGAGCTGCCAGGGGTTAGTGCTCTTTGTATCTTGCAATCTCCCTCCTACATGTTTAACGCCTCGTACGGTAAACCCAGCTGTGCTGCCTTTAAAACCACATCCTGCAGGGTAAGCACAGCAACCTGGAGCACAAAACTCGCTGGGTGTTCATCTCCCCACGCTGAAACTCGAGGGCTGAGCCACCCCCAGCCCCCATCACTGCTGCTGTTTCCTTTCTTCAGAACTGCTGCTCTGAAGAGCAACAGAAATGTGGCTTGCTCAGCCAGTGTTAGAGCAGAAATGTTCCCAGGCATCACAGCATCTTTTGGGCCTTTCTTAAGTTATGACCTGTCCCGTTGCTGCTGCTTTGGAAACCACAGCCTTTAACGTCAGGCAGATTTCAAATCCTTGTGTTGAGTGCACGGCACCCCAGCTGTTCCGCTTGGCCCCAGACAGCAGCCCCAGCCCCACTGCCCAGCTCCTGCCGACCCCTGCCCTGCTCTCGGGCCCCCCCGAAATACTCCTAGGCACAGCGATGTATTTCTGTACGTGGAGTTGTCCCCCAGGCCTGGCAGAGTCTCCCAAACCCCTCCCAGGCTGCTGCGAGGCGAGTCAACACAGGCCCACGGGAGCTCTCACTGTCTCGGACTAGTCCTGACCTGGGAACCCCCCTTAACAAAAACTGGTTTTCTCTAACAGAGACAAAAACAAGGGGAGAAATATTTTCCAATGCATACCTGGGGGTGCTGTTCCCATTTTATTAATATATTACAATTTTTAAATGTATATAAAAAAGTTAGAATAGATCTTCACCAGTGGCAAAGCAGCCCATCACCTTTGGCAGAACTCAAGTTACAGAGCTGAAATGAGGAGAGAAAGGGCAGCAGCAAAGGACAAATCGTAAGAATCTCTAAGAGCGATACCTCTGGAAAATGAAACTCCAGCAGCAAATGTGCTTGTACAGGCCTTAGGGTACAACAGACCCGACGAAATGTGTCCATCCTAGACTGCGCTGCAGCATACCAGCACAGAGGGATGTCTCCAAGATGAGGACAGCCTAGCAAAAGGGCTTGATGCTCTCTTGGATTTTGTAGATCCTGGGCTTTATCTCTGTGGCCCCAATGGATTAACTTCAATTCCAGCAAACAAGCTGTGGCAGAGCAGAGTGCTAGTCCTGGGGCTGAGCCAAAGGCTCTCGGTCCCAGGCTGGGAAACGTGAAAATCCCTGTTGTGTTGTCGCAGACTGTGAAGCTGATACTCATTGCTAAGTGGGGGTTCAAACCGTAGCTGAAATATCTAAGAGCCCCATATTTAATAGCAATAAAGATTTAAGCCAAGCACTTAAATTTCCTAAGAGAAGGCTTTCCGATGGCTTGGGAAGGTGCCAAACCCTCACGTGTCCCTGTTAGGATGTTCTGCCCAAGGTCTGAAACACAAAGGTCGCTGCATGCGCCGCGGTAGCAGCCCCACTCACTTCCCGCAGACGGGCTGGAGATGGCCAGGTCGGGCTGCATGCGCTGGTAGAAGTGCTTCTCATTCTTTTAAAGGAAAACTCTTCTTTGTGACTGAAGTATTTTAATTTAAAGCAGTAGCTTTTTTATGAAAATGTACCATTTTTATTTTTGATAGGCTGACCACCCCCGATCCTGGGCAGCAAAATGAAGAGGCCACGAGAGCAGGACAAGGTCAGAGGCCAGTAACGCCGAGAAGAGCCCACTCTTTGCCCACTAACTACCCAAGGAGGCGCAGAGAGCACGTGGAACCACTCAGGGCTGAAATTAAATGGGAGGGAAAACCAGAGCGTGCAAGTGGAGCAGAGAAGTGCGAGGGAACAGGAGGCCCATGGGTGAGGCTGCAGAGTCCTTTAATGAGAAGGAAAACGGCTCTTGCCAAGTGCTCGTTTGTTTCTTTTCCCTAATGTCAAATCGGAGGCTGAAGGAACACATCAGGGTGGGACAGCGGGTGGAAGCGGGGTGCCTGTCCTCTGTAGGCGCCTGGGTCACCCCAAAAGGCCTGGGCCTCGGCAGCCCTGCAGAGAACCCGCACCGAGCTGGGCACGAGCGCTCGGCCCCTCCGCTGCCGTGTTCCAGCCCGCCGGCCGTGGGGAGTTCAGAAGCCCCTGGTCTCCAGCCCCGCATACACTTCCCGCTGGCCTTTCCGGATGGGCTGTGGGAACAGCAGGGATGTTATCTCGGGAATCCTTATTAGCGCACCCTCAAACCCCGCCAGGGTGCCAGTCCCCACGTGATGTGGGGAAAACCACCACAGAGAGAGCAGGCGCAGCGCTGTGCTGGCAGATGCACAGGGCTCAGGAAGCTGCAGTTCTGCTCCCCACTCCCTGTGGCAGCACCAGAAGGGGCTCCACCCGCACCACCTTTTTCCTCTGCTCCTGGGAAAGCTTGGAGATTGACTGGACACTTCCCCAAAGGAGCAATTTGGATAAATGCTACAGATTCCCAGCTCTGGCCATCCCTCCCCAGCCAGCAACAAGAGATGGAAAAAATGCAGGTACTCCATACCTCATAGTCGGGGTTTGGAACAGGGGGAGGACGCTGCATCTTCTGACCTGCAACAGCGGCAAAGAGAGGTCATCCTTGGTGATAATTCACACAACACAGCACGAGGGACTTTCACATTTTTAACCCAGGAGCCCCACTGCTGGACCGACTGGGTCACCAAACCGTGACCGCAGAAGCCAGAAATTAAAATTTATAGTTTTAATAACACCGCGATTTCTAATCACATGGTCCATGCGTGGGCCTAATTCTTGGTCTTTTATTGCCTGAGACTGCAGCTGAGTGGGCCGGGGCCGGGCTGGGTTTGCAGCTACACTTGCCAAGGGGAGCATCCACCACACGGGCTTTGCTGCGGCACAGACCCAGCGCTGCGGCCCTATGGGCAGGAAGCCTGGGACACCACAGGGCATATAAGAAGGCAGCCCAGAGCCACAGAAGCAGCAAGCGGGAGTGTTGTTTGGCAAGATCTGGGAGATCTAGGGGGAAGAGAGGGTGCTCGACAGGGGAAGGTGCTTCATTTAGCGCTTAGCAGACATCGTGGAGAGCAGAGACGCCTGAAACGGCTCTTACCTCGTGGCCGACTGCCAGCACTAGCGCTCGCTCTCCCCTTCCTGTCTTTGCTGAAGTAATAGACCAGAATCAGCACCCCGAAGGTGATGAGGAGATCCGCGGTGATGATCCCCGTCACTGCCAAGGCATCCAGCTCCTCACAGTTCGCACACACTGCCAGGAGGAGAGACGAAGGCGCTCGGAGACAGGCAGCCCTCCTTTCCAGCAAGGAAAGGCCACCTCACCCCCCTGGCAGCGCCAGCAGAAAAGATGCACTGCTGGGTGGGAAGGAGGAAGGAGCAGCCAAAAGGGAAGGGGAGAGCAGAGGCCATTCTGTCCGCCCTGCCGTCTGGGTCTGCAAACAGACGCGGCCAGGGGGCTGGCCCGTGTGTAACCTCCCTCACTACCCTCTGTTGTCTGCACGGCATGAGCCTGAGGGTGCAAAACGTCTCCTAGATCATTGCCCCCCCACCACCTACGCTGGAGTCTTAAGTCCTTAATGCAGAGCAGCTGCCCAAATTTCAAATGGCTCAGAGACTTAAATCACTCTGTCAGGGTGGGGCTCAACTCCTCCTCCTCGATGGGTTTCAGAAACCAGGCGGTGTGCTCCAGGTGGGAGGTTTCCACTCCGCAAGGCAAGAAGTGCCTCTGGGAGACATCCCTCTTGCCCTGTATCATGGCCGAAGTGGCATAAAAAAAGATCGTGCACTGTACACGTGGGAACCACTGACATGCCACCAGCTTGGGGACAGCGGAAGGGAAAGGCATAGAGCGCAGGGAGATTCCTTTTGCCAAACGTGCGCTCTTGGATGCTTTTTCTGCCCACGCAAAGCAGGAAGGGCCTCGGCAGACCCACGTTCACTCAGCCCAGCAGCGCTAAAAATCAGGTCTCAGCTCCTAACGTCTGTCACTGGGGTGTGCAGCCCTTACCTCTAGCCCGCAGATGGAGTGCGTTTTCGCTCACCTCTGGCATGCAGGTGCATTGCGTACTTCTGACCACCTGACGAACAGCTCACGACGGCAGGAGAGCTGTCGTGATTCTCTATAACATACTTCCTCTCGTCACTGGTGAGTTTATCACCTCTGAACTCCCACAATATGTTGCCTTCGGTCAAGGGACATGTGATTGTCACCGTGGTTCCGGAAATCTCCACCAGGAATTCTTCATGGGAAGATGGGCCGAGGAAAGGGGGAACCAGCGTTACAAACAGCTCCTGAGGCGCCTTCCCTGCCTGGCCGGGTCCCACCATGACAGTTTGGCTCTGCCAAACCTTTCACTTCGTGGTGTAAACTCCCTGTGTATGTGTCTTCTGCCCGCATGTTTTCCTTTAGGTTTTTTTACGCTGATACTTTGCAACGCTAACCAGTATCACACCACCATCACAGTGTTGGACTCCGTGTCAGAGAGCCTGCCCACCTGCCCTTCACCGTTCTGCTTATCCCTCTGCTTGCTGGTCTCTGCAAACGGCCAGCTAACACTAATTAGGGGCAACTCCTAGCTGATTTTTCTGATTGGTGATGACAGCTGCAACTAATAAACAGGAAATTTTTTCCTTCTAAAATACCACTTGAACTCAAACACTTCTATTTGCCTTTTAGTCCTCACCTGTGAGGCATCTGCAGTCTTTATATCCTGCTAAATAGTTAAGAGCGCTAGTAAAATACACTTACCCTTCTGTGCTTCGATATCATCTGCAAAGGGGAGAATAATAAATGTTAGCAATTCAGCCTGCTATTACCTTACGGCTTGTTGCTGATGGGAAATACCCAACTCTGCTTGGGGATTGCTAGCGCTAACCAGGGACAATTTATGACATCTAGATTTTCCAATCAGTGAGATCAGTAACAGTTAATGAACAGGGAATTTTTCCTCTCCTGCAACATTTGCAAAATTCACATATTTCTGTTTGACCTTTAGTCCTCACTTGTGAGGCATAGTTGCTCTTTTTATCATACTAAATAGTTAAGAAGGCTGGTAAAATACACTTACCCTGCTGAGCTGCGGTTCCAACTGCAAAAGAAAGAAAAGTAAGTGTTAAGTAATTTAGCTGCTGCTACCAGACGCCTTTCCTACTTCAAGGATGTCCCTTCTGAACTCGGCTGCTTGAGAGAGACGTTTATACTCCTGTGTTTGTGCCAAAGGCTTTAGAAGCGTTCTGTTAGCTGAGACAGGATGTTGCTTTGAAATGAAGTCTTTGCCCCTGGAAGCCATTTTTAACACGGACTAATGCAGAATGGAAATCGAACAATTTTCTGACCCAGTTTAGAAAAAAAGGTTGTTGCAAGCTGTACGCCCAACTTATCATTGCTTTATTATCATGGACCAAAGACTGCTGGAGAATCACGCTTGGTTTCTGCAGAAGGAAACTGTCCTCTGCAACAGTGTACTCGTTGGAGGGTTGGACCCCGATGCTCGATTTAACGCTGTAAAGCAGTTTATCTGTGTGATTTGTCTCTCTTGGTAGGAAACAAGTAGCTCCACTGAAGCCTCTGCAGGTGGACTATTACAGAAACAGTTTTTTAGGAGGTCTGAATCAGACTTGTGATTTGCTTTACAGACATTTGTCGATAAAAAGTAACATAGGTAAAGAAAGGAATTACCTGTATTCATGTGTTCAGTGCTATTGTCTCATCCCAGATAATGCTTTACAGTAAGAGTTGCTTATAACAAAACTGTAAATCTGAAATTCCACAGGGATAGGACTTGGCTGGAGAGAACGTGATCTGCTGCTTTATTCCTTATATAAGATCAATTTGAAAAAAGAAGAGGCTATTGCTGAACCAAATGTTTTCAATCTTCTCAAAGAATAGTATTTGCAGCACATTGGCAGAGTAGCTGTGGTCTTATTGGAGTATCTTTTAATTACCTTTCAAATTTATCTCTCGTAGTTATCAGCTTTTTCATAGTCTTTACAGATACTCTGCACTTTATCATAAACCAGATTTCTAAATGCTGGTCAGTTCACACTCTGGTAATGTGGAAATTGCTAACACTCCTGTGATAGTACAGTGAATCTGAAGTTATGCACCCACGATCACAAAACAGTTCAAGGAAAGTGTGGGAATAAAGCGTAAAAATAAAATTAAACCCACAGAACCTTACAGTTCGCACTGCTGCAGGAAACGGTGAGTGCGTCAGGCTCCAACCCTGCTGTTTGAAGTTTGGAGACCAGCTGTCTTAGTGACTCAGCCCGGGAGCAAAAATTCACCAGGGACCTCCGGTTCTTTTCTCCAGCTCCAGAGGATGGGATTCCCATTTCTCCGTCCCTGCAGCCTGCACTCAGGGGAACGCTTCCCCCGGAATGCCACAGCTCCGTGGGCCCCGTGCACGCCAGCCGCAGAGGATGAGGCGGCCGGCACTCTGCAAACCCAGTCGCCCGCCCTGTGCCTCCCCCCTGCAGCCCCTGGGCACCCCGCTTTGGGTCCCCCCGGGGCTCCTGGCCAGCAGAACTCACCCCCACAGAGCAGGAGTCCCAGGAGAGGCAAGGCTCGCTCCAGCCTCATCCTCGTCTTCCTCCTCCTCTCACTCTTCTCTCTCACATCAGACTGGCATCGGCGAGGCCGCCTGCGAGGGAGGAAAGGACACGCTGGCTGTTCACGTTGTCGCTTACAAGAAAGAGGCCCAAGATTTTTTCCTAGAATCGTGTTCGTCAACGAACTGAGCCATGCTGGGGAGACTCACTGTTTCCAGCGATACCTGCGAGCAGCCAAGACGCGGAACACGTGTGATAAAACACGTCCGACACGTGTGTGACGCGGAACACGTGTGAGCCCGTGCCAGGAAGCGCAGAGGCTCAAACGTCTTCACGGGGCGTCACTGACAGCAAGGGGTGGCTGCTCTGCCCCGGCCCGGCCCAAGCCTCGCAGACCTGTTGTAGCTTCCCCGGGAGCAGCAGGAGAGAGAACCGAGCCGGGAGTAGATTTGCCATCGGGACCTTTCTCACAACTTCTCGAAGCTGGGGTTTCTCAAGTTCAAACTACGGCAAGCACCTGAACCTCGGAGGGAACAAACAAAGGGAGCAGAAACACGACAAGAACACCTGGAGACACTGTACAGCAGCAGAAATGAGCCTGTGAGTTCCATGCTGTAAAACCGGGGGGTTTTAGTCACCGATGATGCAATCTGGACTCTACTTTTGTTATTTCGCCCTGACACAACCTCTTCATTCCTGCTGCCTCTTCAGAAGTGGCATGTGCCAGTCGGACACACCGAGGGCGAGGGCAAGCAGTGCCTAAGCACAGCAGGATGCACCTGCCTTCTTGCCCCTTCCACCGTCCCGTGCCGTGGCTAAGCACAATCTTGCGGGCTCCTATTTCATTTATCGAGGTGCTCTCCTTAGCTGTCAGACCTCTCTTTTACTCATTTCTGTTTCAAAATGAAAAATGAGAGCATTTATGTTACTAATGAGGGTGTCAGGGACACGGCCTTCTCTTTAGAGTCAACCTATTTTGAAACAAGATATTGCAGGTTAGTAAAAGTCTCCAGTTAAAGCTCAGAACAGACCCTCGCCCCAGTCCCGTGCGTTGCACACGTGTGGTCTTCTGTGGGAGCCGGTAGCGTCGCTACATGGTCAGAGCGGCCAAAGGGCCTTACAGCAAGGAACACACGTGTCCTGCTGGACTCTGCGCGGGCTGCCGGAGGATAAGAAGTTGCCGCTCTGAAGAAAGACAAATTTTAGGAGGTGGCAGAAAAACAGGTGTTGAGCACTGCCTTACAAATCCTTGAAATAAAATTGGAGAAGGCAAAAGTATCCTGTTTGCAAAACAAACAAATAAAAAACCCCAGCCTGGTAAATATTGATGGTGGCAATGAAAGAAACGGAGATGATGTTTTGGAATAGTAACTGAGGGGAAATGTGGGGAGATGCAGTGATGAAGGGTTAACAGAGGGCAAAGTTATTCCTGTGAAAAGAGAGATATCTGACAGAGCAAACAGCAGAGACAAGATTCTCTGTGCCGCTCTGTGGAGAATCCATGAGACTGATGGCCTCAGTGCTTTTTGACCTTGCCAGATTTTTACCTTGGAGTTTAGAAGTTAAAAAGAAATTCAGCACTCTTCAGAAATTGCCACAAGGATGTTACAACAGCAAACGGGAGCAGAGACATCCACACAGGTGCTCATTAGCAGGAAGCCTGACAGTCCCACTGCTGTCCTCTGTCCACCAAACCGGTGTCCTGGCCGGTTCTAACATCTCTCAGTGTGTCCCAGGTGATCCAAACCCTCCCAACGGGAGCCCACACTGCTGCACAGCCCGCGTGCCCTCCCTCCACTCCTCAGCTCCGAGCTCACGGGAGCCCTTTAAAACACCCAGAGATTCGGGCGTCCTCCCCGTCCCTGCCTTCGCAGCACCGCAAGAAAAATTAACATTAGTCACAACGAAAGCTTATAACCTGGGATGACTTCTTGGAACTAGACCAGGACCAGACACAAACACAGCCACAGCCAGCTGCAGATTCTGGTGTTAAAGTGATTTATGGTCTCCAAACGCAAACTTCCTTGTTTTGCCAACACACACGCACAACTCGGTTTCATGCTCTCACAACGTGCCACCAGGAAAATATTTGGTGTCGCACTGAGCTTTGCGCTGCTTCTTAAGCGCCGTGGGGTTTCCCCAGCTGGGCCTGGACTACAGCCAAGCTGGACTCATCTCCCGTGTAACTGCCGTTTGTCTTTTCCAAGAACCTTCCAAGCACCAGCCGATGCAGTCCCCCAGTTCTTCAGCGGGGTGGCTGCAGCCAAGTCACATTACGGTGATCACTTCACTGTACCGTAGGTATCCGTGTCTCACTAGGACGTCTCCATCCTCTGGATGTGTGCCCGCACAGCTTCCAGACTGGCTGTCCTGCGTGGCTTTTTTTTCGGATCTTTTGCAGGGTGTTGCCAAACAAATGGCCCTCCTTGCTTCAGGCTATCTATAAACACCTTCAGGCAAAGTTTCTTTTAGGAGCAAAATTACCTCCCACAAAGAGGGGAGTGGTTTCAAGTGGAATCTGGGAGGAGGGATGATTGCAACACAAAAGAGCAAAGGAATATGGGAAGCAGAAGAAATTAATCTTACCTTGAAAACCTCCCTGGTTTACCCACTGAGCTGCGCTGGCCCCACCTTACCTGTCGGTGCTCCCTGACTCAAGCAGGAAGAACTCGCATTGATTCGCAGGCCAAGCTGCGAGACAGAATCAGCTCTACTGTGCTGGGAAGGCTTCGTGAGACTCCTCTTTCACCCGGTTAGCGAGAACCTGAAACAAATTTCTCTTTCGAGCCCTGCTCAACCGGCGGCGGACGGACCCGCCTTCCCGATGCAGGGCCCCGACGTGCTGGGCGCTGTGCTCCTCCTCGGGGTCCAGCTCCGAGGTAAGGGAACCGGGCACTGCCTGCCCTCAGTTGCCATCTTGACTTTCCTCTTCTAATCCCTTAATTACCGTCCTCATTAAGGCAGTGACTTTATTTATAGGAGTCTCGGATACTTGTTGTGGACGGTTGCTGCGATTCTTTCAGTCCGGGCTTTGCTGCAAGTCAGACGGATTGATTGAATTTCTCCGACAAACAGGTTTAGGTGTGTCCAAGCGGAGGAAGAACACTGATCTCATTCTGAGCTCTGGTTACGCTTCTTTTCCTCTCCTGCCAGGAATCTGGACTTTACTCCTAGATAGTTTTTTCACTATCTTTGTTGCCAGACAATCGGAGATTGTTAAGCGGCTCCGGGTTTAGATCCTTCACACGGCAACGATTCCAGGCTGACAATAAGCTCACTTGAATCCTCAGTGGGTTACATCAATAGAGCTGGAATCCAAGAACACCGCGGCCTCCTTTCCCAATACATCAGCACATGGCCACACTCGGTAATCTGTCCTGAAAAAAAAAAGTATTTTACACTTATTTCCCACAGTTGTTCTTTTAAAGGAGTTTAAAAGATTTGACACTTTGGATGAGAAACGTGATTTCTGTCCGTGAAGTTTCTGAAATGTGAACACCTTCAATGATTTGGCATTTGAAATATTTTCTCATTTGAGAAAATAAATTATATGGCAAGGAATTCTCTGATTATAAATTATTTTCAAATACAGGAAATGTATTGATTGTTATAACGCCGTATTTTACAGCTCCAGATGAGATTTTTTATTTTTTTATTTTTATTCTTGCATCTCAGTGGGATGAGTTAACTCATCTTCCTACAGTGAAAGGAAATTATTAACATTTTCTTTTTCTGCTGGGTTAGTTTGACCAGCGAGGAAAGGAAAATAATGGGAGCACATGACCAGGAACAGGGAAGACTGTCCCTTTCAGCAGCAGCAAGATTTTGGGCTCAGCACTGCCGTTTTGCAGAAACTAACCCACTACCTCGGAGAGCTAAAGCAGTCAGGCAAGCAACACAGTGATTGCAGGGAAAAAAAAAAAGCAAGAATTTAAGAGCACCACCGTCTTGGTAGCACCAACCCGCCAGAACAATTGAACGCTGTCTGGAATGGCAGGGCTAGCCAGAGGACAACTGGGGCTCAAGCGTGAGCATCATCCTCACCAGCAACCCTTCGGGTTTCCTATTTTTCACTTTTCTTCTTTCTGTGCCTTCATGCTTGCTCTCTTGCTGATTGTCTCTCTCTCAGGGTAGCAGCAAGTTAGCGGTGTAACTTATTTTTAAAGCGGCAGCTGTGGTGGTTTGGTTCACAGAGGATGTTTCTTTGGCAAACAAATGATTACAGTTTTACCTTGAGGATTTCCTGCGGAGTTCCTCAACCTGACTATATTTGACGGTAGCTGTCTAGCTGGGCTGTTAACCTTGTTGCAGACACTTCTTGTATCAGCAGGAGCAGTTTTCCTCACGGTGTGCGTGACACTCAGGCTTATAACACAAGATGTATATAAAGGAAGGCTCTAGCATGGGCAATAGCGATTGTTTATTGAGGTTCAGCAGTCCTACTTGAAAGGGCAGGACTGCTTTTCTGAAGAAATCTGCTTGGGGAATTGAGTGCAGTAGAGTGTAGTCACTTGTGAAAATGTGACCAGGACAAGCACGTGAAAAGTTATATGGCATCTTGAGTGCCAGTCAGGAGCAAGTGTGTATTTAAGGAGGGGCTGCATCTACAACAGCATTGCAGCTCCTAGATGTCGTTTGCTCGTGGCTGAAGGGAGACATTTCCCCCCCCCAAGACAAAGTCTGTTGTCTCTATAGGCAAGTCCTTGCAGTGGTCCTTTCTCAGATCTGTAAACATTTAACTGCTCAGCCACAAAACCACAAAGCAAGCACTGTACCGGGAGTTCAGATCAATGCAAACTCCTTTGAAACCAGCAGTGTGCAGCTTGCACATCCACTGACAGCATCTGTGAAGCACGAGGGATCTCTTGGATTCTGGATACCCAGGACCAGCCCCCTCAGTAATTCCAACTCTCGGCTTGTGACTGTGGCTTGAACACTGACAGGGATAGATAAGGCAGGCTCCTGCATAGACTAAATGCAGATAAGGAGAAGTGATGAGCTTACTCCTAGACAGTAGTTTTCTTGACCTCTAACCCCTGCTGTTTTCCCTGCAGCACTGTGGCCTGTGGCAGCCGTGGAAGTTCACACTTCCAGGGAGGTGGATGCTGTGAACGGCACTAACCTGCGGTTAAAATGCACCTTTTCCAGCAGCAGCCCTATTAGCCAGCACCTATCAGTGACTTGGAACTTCCAGCCCGAGGACCTGAGCTCTCATGAGCCGGTGAGTGAGACCTTCACGCTCTATTTCACTGATGCACGCTTGCCCAAACAAACCAGTCCCAAGGTCCAGCACTGGGTAAGCCCAGTGACTGCAGAAATTCCGGGTGTGGGTACGGGCACAGCTGAAATGCACGAGGCACCGTCTTTTGAAATGGCCTCCGAGTTCATCTGAGAGCGACCGGGCCAACACAGCCCTCCCCAGCTTAGGCCACGTGCCTCAGCTGGTGCCACTCCACTTTCACACGCTGCTGCTATCACACCGACTGTCCAGCATGTGGGAATGACAGCTTCCTCTCTTTCTTGTAGGTATTTTATTATCTGAAGGAGCCCTACAAGCTGTCTGCTGGACGGTTTAAAGAGCGAGTCACCTGGGATGGGAATATTGAGCGTAATGATGTTTCCATCGTTATCTGGAATTTGCAGCCCACTGACAATGGGACGTTCACCTGCCAGGTGAAGAACCCACCAGATGTTGATGGCACAATTGGTGAAGTGCGACTCAGAGTTGTGCAGAAAGGTGAGAGGCCGAGAACCCCACCAGAGGTCATGGGAATTTAGCCAGTGTGAAGCATTGGCAGGTCTTCCTCCACATTTGGGAAAATACATGGAAGAAAAGGGATTATAAAGAGAAAGCACGAGGGTTGTTAATGGATACAAGTGAAAAAGGAGCCTGAGGAAAGGTTATGTTCACGGGTACAGGTTCCCAGCCTCATACCAAGAGGCTTCTGTGTGCCCCTCTTATTCATTTATCTGTTTCTCTCCATGCAGTGCATTTTTCAGAAATCCATTTCCTGGCAGTGGCCATTGGGTCTGCTTGTGTTCTGATGATCATTGTGGTGACAGTTGTGATTATCTGTCGACACCATCGGAAGAAAGTGCAAGCGAAGAGGATCGAGGTGGCAGACGCTGAACTGTAAGGACAGAAGGAGAGAGAGCAAGGCTTCTGGGAAAGCTTGTCAAATGGGTCTTTGTAGCTATTCTGAATCATTGGCTTGGACCCTGCACCAAGCGTCTGCAATGCAAAACTGCCAGCGCAATTAGCAGTAATTGGCTGCTTACTTGCAGTCAGAACAGAGCCGCGGGATGAACACGCTTTGGAGTCCTCGTTTTGCTCTTGCCCTTTGCAGTGGCTCCTCACTCAGAGAAGGATCCAGCTGTTGTGGTGGTAGTTGGCAGATGATCACTCTGTTCTTTTCTCCCTGAACCTGACACTGTGGTTGCCATGCATGTAGCACGCTTATTCTCATATAACTTCTTTTTATATGTTATGTATGTTAGATGTAACTCAGAAGGTGACTCTGCTGCTCAGAATATCTGATGCTGATTTGTGGGGTTTTTTTCTTTTTTTTTTTTTCTTTATTGTAACAGCAGAGAAAAGGAGAATCTGAAGATTAGAGAAGAAAAGGAAGCCAGTTCATTAGAAAACTAGAGGTCTTCAATGGTCTATACAATGCAGGTATCCATTCAGACATTCTCTAATTACTGCAGACTTTCCAAGACAGTTTTACTTAGGTATTTCATTTCTATGGCCATGGTAGCTGCAGATGGAAACAACTGAGACCAGAGTCACACTTGGCTCTCGCAGAGCCTTCGGACAGACTGCCAACTGAACAGGCAGTGGAGACAGAGCTGCCTCTTAACTGTAGACGAGAATTCTCCACCCTTGTGTTGAGAATCATTGGTAGGAAAGGCATTGTTGCTGCTTTCTGTGACACGCCTGCTCTGTGGATAGAGGAATGAATTCACTTCCTTTCACCAGTTTTGAATCTGCTTTTTGATGCATTATTGTTTTAAAATTGCTACAGAAAGACTGAAACTGTTTCCAGATTTGCTGGCTTTGCTGAAATGTTTCAGCGTAATTTTCACTCGCTCAATTTCTGAGGTCAGGAGTTGCCTCTGCTGTTTGTGTTTTCAACAATAATTCTGAGTAATTAATCTGGTTTGTTTTTCTTACAATCTTTCTTCTTAGGTACTTCTAAAGCAGATGGTGAAAGCTTGTAATTTTGTATGTTAAAACAAAGCTGAATTACAGACGCCTCATGCTGTGAGCGTGGTATCCCTGCTCAACCTGAAATTCTTGCAAGGAAAGAGGATGACATTAGCATAAATTGTGTATTTCCTTCACTGAAGCAAAGCAGGAGGATCTTGCCCCATGAACAAGGAACTTGCCTTAATCTTCACACCTGCCGAATGTGAAGAAGCTGCTCTGAAGATGAAAAAATGCCAAGAGACTTGAACAAAACGCAAAGATAGCTGACTGAAGAGAGATACTCAAAGTGTCTTGAGCAGATGCACTCTTGCACCTTAAAAGCCACAAGGTGCATATGTGCTGCCGTATTTTTCCTCCCTCAAACTCCCCTTTGACATCACGAAAAGGAAGCCTGACTATGTGGGGATCAGAGGAGCAGCTGGTCGCTACAACGTACTTTTTATCTCCTGGCTACTTTAGATGGGAACTGTAACAGTTGGGGAATGGATGCTGTTTCTTATTAGGGAAAATTTACCCGTAGGTGTGTTTTTCATAGTGATCTCTTGCACCTTTGGTAGGCTTTGTAACCACGGTAGCTGAGGACACGGCCTCCTGTCCCCTCCTTTCCCCTCCCGCTCTGCCCGCGCGTCCCGGCGCTGCTGCCCTTGCCCCTCGGCTCCCCAGCCCCG